CATATGGAATTTTTTAAAAGAGGGTTGCAACATTTTCATTTTTGTATAATCAGTATTTCATATGACTGAAGAACCAAAAATCCAACTGAGTTTCAGGTGGGTCTCTGAGTGCACAGAGACTGATATATAGAATGAAGAAATCAGAATCACGAGCTGCCCAATCGGAGACCATGCCTTTGGCTTGCTTTGCCAGTGAATGAGGCAGCACCCTGGTACTCCCTAAAACCCCATCTATAACTTCCTGGCCTGCTTCACCCAGCTCCACTTCCACCTCCTGATTGCTCAATGGCGCCAAGGCCCCAAAGAGGGACAGGACATTTTTTCCCAGGAAATATCTCACAGTTGGTTTAAAATGTATATAATAACGTTTACAGGGAGTTTTGAAGTTTCTTTGATCTACCATGTAATTTCCAGGCAAAATCCTCACAGAATAATCACAGTTGGAGTGGACAAAAATGAATAGTGGTGGCAGAAAGAAATTATTCCATGGGATGAGATCCTTTGCAGGACACCATGAAGTGTTTGGGGTGCGAAGATTTAAATACAAATGTCCCCAGCTCCCCCAAGCGCCTGGATTGCTGTCCTCTCATTGCCATCACCTGATCTTAGAGCAAAAATATTTTTTTCTGTGATGGCCACCTGACTCTGCAGACTGAGAGCTCTTGGATGTCCCCTGAGGTTGAAAGGCAGACAAAAGGAAAGACAGGAAGACATCCGGGAGGACAGAGGGAGACAGGAAGGGATGAGAAAACTCAGAGGCCCCCAGGGGATCCCTGGCCCACATGCCACTATGTGGGAACTAACTGCCAACAAAGGCCATTTCAAAGAGTTCTGGTCCCAACACAGAAATCAGTTAAAGGGATGAAACCCAAAGTGGGAACCAGGAACTCCAGTTGCTGATATTACAGATGCTGATATGTAGATGCTGATATTAGAAGAATTGAGGAAAAGATTATTAGACTTGATTTCCTTTTCATTAAAATATAGCAAACAAGCTCAAGGCCAGGGCCAGCCACTTTTCTTTGCAGTGAGACTTCTTTCACTGGTATTCTCCTTGAGCCAAACTTTAAGTGCAGCAAGGACAAAATACGGTCTCCTTGTAAACAGTGGTAAGAGAAATTCAAAGAGCTACAAGTGAAATTCACTCAGGACTCATTTGTGTTATTGAGTGCAGTTCAAGAATATTGTAAGCTGTAGGAAATGCTTTTGAATTCTACTTAGAACACTTAGAAAATGACTGCTATTTGTTTACTTACAGTATTAGTATGCAGTTACCATACTCCTGAGTTTTTATTCTTGTAGTACCATAGCTGCAAACAAGAAATACCTCTCTACTGCAAACAACCAAAGGTGACGTTTCCTGGCTGATAATCACACTGCAAATAGCTGCAAAGGATTCATGAGTATTAGGTTATTACAAAAAAAAAAAAACAAACAAACAAAAAAAAAAACAACTTTTTACTTTAGAATCCAATGAGTTTTTTTGTTTGTTTGTTTTTTGTTTTTTTAAGATTTATTTTATTTATTTGACAGGCAGAGTTACAGAGAGAGGTAGAGACAGAGAGAGAGGTCTTCCATCTGCTGGTTCACTCCCCAGATGGCCGCCATGGCCAGAGCTGAGCTGATCCAAACCCAGGAGCCAGGAGCCTCCTCCAGGTCTCCCACGTGGGTGCAGGGTCTCAAGGACTTGAGCTGTCCTCTACTGCCTTCCCAGGCCTCAGCAGAGAGCTGGATCGGAAGAGGCGCAGCCAGGACTAGAACCAGCACCCACATGGGATGGCGTGTTTCAGGCCAGGGCGTTAACCCGCTCAGCCACAGCACCAGTCCCAGAATCCACTGAGTTTTTAAGATACTTTAACATATAGGTACATTATAACCAATTTTAAAAAATTCAGTTAACTTTTTTCTTAAATAATAGCAGCTTTTAAAATTAACAAATGAGATTATAAATATTTGCATGGACAATGCTGATGAATTATTTTCCCCTAAATGTCATTTTCTTTTAACATTCTTGGCTGAAGAGATGAAACTTTCAACAGAAACCACAATTTTTAATCTAGGGTTATAAAAGACCAAGTCTGTGAAAAAAAATAAAAAACCTTATTTAGATGGGCTATCGCTAGACTGGGACTTTCTGAAATACTTTCATTGTTGCCCTTTATGTAAAAGAATCATTTTTGCTGAGGTTGGCACTGTGGAGTAGTGGGTAAAGCTGCCGCCTGCAGTGCTGGCATCCTATATGGGTGCCAGTTCGAGTCTCCACTGCTCCACTTCCCAACCAGCTCTCTGCTATGGCCTGGGAAAGCGGTAGAAGATGGTCCAAGTCCTTCGGCCCCTGCACCCATGTGGGAGATCCAGAGGAAGCTCTTGGCTTCTGGCTTTGGATTGGTGCAGCTCCGGCCGTTGCAGCCAATTGGAGGCTGAACCAGCAGATGGAAGACCTCTCTCTCTCTCTCTCTGCCTCTCTGTAACTCTGCCTTTCAAATGAATAAATCTTTAAAAAAATCATTTTTGTTAAGGAAATATGAAATACCAAGTTTTAGAAAGTATGGATACTACCAATTAGAGACATTTCTTCTTATCTTTAACTTTTTGAAGACTGCCTTGTACATAAATTTAGCTCTCTCAGGGCTGGCGCTGTGGCTTACCAGATTAAGCTGCAACTGCAATGTTGGCATCCCACATGGGTACCGGTTTGAGTCCCGGCTTCTCCACTTCTGATCCAGCTCTCTGCTGTGGCCTGGGAAAGCAGTAGAAGATGGCCCAAATCCTTGGGCCCCTGCACCCATGTGGGAGACGCGGAGGAAATTCCTGGCTCCTGGATTCAGATTGGCACAGCTCTGACCCTTGCAGCCATCTGGGGAGCAAACCAGCAGATGGAAAAACTCTCTCTCTCTCTGCCTCTCTCTGCCAGCCTTTCAAATAAATAAGTCTTTTTAAAAAAAATAAAACTAACAGAGACTCATATACAATAACATGATCCTAGTGACTACGAAGGACACAAACTGGTGAGTGAGCCTGAGATTAATTTTAAGTCCTAAAAGTATTTGACCTTAGCAACCACCCCAGATGACAGTAAGTCCTGCACATGCAGGTTCATGCCTGGAGCTCAGAAGTGCAAAGGCCAAATGGAAGCCCACAACAAATTTTCAAGTTTGAGGTACAAACCTTGTTTCTGAGACCACCCAAGAAGAGGAACTTGTGAAATGATATATGCATAACTTTTTAAAAACCATTTTTTTAAAAGTAATGTTTAAGATTCTTCTTTAAGAGTGGGGCAGTGTGCATGCTAAGAATCACACACACTGCACATAGAAGGCTTCACGGGGAGCGCTGGTTCTGTTCAGTCTAGAGCTGGTGATATTTCAAGTTCTAGAAGCCTCAAAAAAACCAAGACCCTATTATAAAACCACAACATTTAAAGATCCTAAGGTGCTACTACCTTCTTATAAATGCATTTTATAGTCATCATATTGATCTATTTATTTACAGTCATCATATTAATAATCTACTTGTAGATGAGAGAGAGATTTTGGTTTGCTTGTCTTCAAGGCTGGTCTTCCCTGACATTAAATCAATTCATTCGCCGACTCACTCACTCAGCATTTACTGTGCACTACAGAACACGTCCTCAGCTATGTGAGAACAGAGACAAGGCAGGTCCTTGCCCTGAAGACACCTGGGCACATTCTACAACGTACAGTTGGACTGATTCACGCTACTGATCCACTCACTCTGAGCCTAACCAGTATTCTGAATCTGGTGGACTTGCTGTTTTTATTCTTCTAGATTCAAAAATCACCAAAGCCTCTTTTGCTTTGAACTTTTATTTGGCAAAGCAGCACTGCATAAACTGTGCAGCAACAAAGACACAGTTTACACAGCATGTTAGATTCGTATACATTATCAGCAGCAAATTAGAAACACACACACACAAACAAGGCTAAGCTACAAGTCCCCTATCACTTTTAGAGAGGAAGAACGAACTATGTCAGTCAGTCCAATCAGAGCAGCAGAGTGCTTACGCCTGCCATCTTCAGTTTCGGTATTTACAGTGCCTAGTTGGAAGGTAACAAAGCAGCTGACTGTATCTACAACATGCTATTCTATGACACCACATCAAAAGCTTTAAAAAGAAAGCTCATCTCTATTTCTTAGTAGCATCTAACAGATATCCAAATACCAAGATTCTTAACTTGTGAATGGTGGTGTTATCTGATACACAGAAGAAATTTGATAAATTAACATCAGAACAAAATTAAGTGTCCAAGAAAAGGAAAACCACTCCTCAAAATCAGTCATAAACTAAAATTTTCCATTTTGCAGAACCCCTTCTTTTCCTATTTTAAGGTAAACTGTGGGCATGTGAAAGAAGTAACACACGCTCTCCTACTCTGCAGCCCTCTGCCAGTTGGGCTCTGTGCCTCTTTGAAGAATTAGAAAACCCTACAAAACCACACATTTTCATGCTGAAAATAACAGTGTGACAAAGTCCAAAACAAGCTGTGATGCTGTTGGTTTCCAAAAAGCTTTGAGGACTGAGATGAGCAATCCACTGAAATATCACAGGCTGGTCAAGCTGATGCTCTTAGAGTTCATCCCTGGGAAGGAAAGAGAGAACGCATGAGCAGGGTTACACACTACAGATCCTGGCTAAGAGCTAACATACAACTGCCGAGCCAGTGAAGATGCACCGAGCCCCAAGCCTTGTACCAAAAAACTGAGAGCAACCAATCCCAGGGCAAAGCAAAAATGGAAGCCAGTTATCCCACACATCTTTCATGCTACTCCAAAATGCACTATAAAACCCTATAGGCCTGAGTTCTGTATTTTTTAATTCTAAAGATAAGAGTTCTCACAAGAACAGAAATTTCAGAAAAACTGCAACTTGTAGATGTGGGAACATTATTGCTAATACTTTATTTATCATAAAATCACGACTTGAGAATTTAGAATTCACTTATTTTCGAGTTAGTCACCAAAATTTCTTCTTTTGCTAGAGCGTCTGTCAGCAGCTGTGGAGTCCATCAGTCTCCACCCAAACTCCCGGGGAGAAAATCCACCACCTGGAAGTACCCTCCTGCTACCTTGCGGCTGATTTCACAGGCAGTGCTAGCAGCTCCCCCAGACACCACGCGCTGGGCCAGTGTGGCACTGGACCAGCAGCTGTCAGTGAGAGGAGGAGGAGAGGAAGGAGTAGTTTCACACAGTCTATCAACTGTACCTCAATGTCATAAAAGTGAAAATAAATGGAAGACAATTACTTCGAAAAGCCTAAATGCCTCACATTTGAGGGTAATCTGAGTGCCAAAAACATCATTAAACACTCAACTACTTTATGGATAAAGAAACATAATATTTGTAATTTAAAAATATTACTTATATGTATATATGGAGTGAGAAAGCAAATGTGAAAAAATGTTAATAATTGGTGACTCTGGATGAAGAAACTTAAGAATTATTCCTTGTACTATTATAGCAAGAAATTGTCTAATAAAAAATAAAATTTAAAATTTTTGGGCCAGTGCTGTGGCACAGTGGGTAAAGCCTCAGCCTGTGGCACCAGAACCCCACATGGGCACCGGTTCATGTCCTGGCTGCTCTACTTCTGATCCAGCTCCCTGCTGATGCGCCTGGGAAAGCAGCAGAAGATGAGCCAAGTGCTTGGGTCCCTGCACCCACGTGAGAGACCTGGAGGAAGTTCCTGGCTCCTGGCTTCGGATCAACCCAGATCTGGCCATTGCAGCCATTTGGGGGAATGAACCATGCATGGATGGAAAATCTGTCTGCCCCCCTGCTTGTGGCTCTGCCTTTCAAATAAATAATTCATTTAAAAAAGTGTTGAAGTTATTAAATTTGAAAGGAAGGTGAAATCAAGAGCTTCTATTCCATAGGAACCTGGTGGATCAAGCAATTACCAGACAATCTGTCTTTTAGAAAGTCAACTTCCAGCCGGCGCTGTGGCTCAGTAGGCTAATCCTCTGCCTTATGGCGCTGGCACACCGGGTTCTAGTCCCGGTTGGGGCACCGGATTCTGTCCCAGTTGCCCCCCTTCCAGACCAGCTCTCTGCTGTGGCCCGGGAGTGCAGTGGAGGATGGCCCAGGTGCTTGGGCCCTGCACCCCATGGGAGACCAGGATAAGCACCTGGCTCCTGGCTTCGGATCAGCGCGGTGCGCCGGCCGCAGCACGCTGGCCGTGGTGGCCATTGGAGGGCGAACCAACGGCAAAGGAAGACCTTTCTCTCTGTCTCTCTCTCACTGTCCACTCTGTCCAAAAAAAAAAAAAAAAAGATTCTAGGCCGGCGCTGTGGCTCACTAGGCTAATCCTCCGCCTTGCGGCACCGGCACACCAGGTTCTAGTCCCTGTCGGGGCTCCGGATTCTGTCCCGGTTGCCCCTCTTCCAGGCCAGCTCTCTGCTGTGGCCAGGGAGTGCAGTGGAGGATGGCCCAAGTGCTTGGGCCCTGCACCCCATGGGAGACCAGGAGAAACACCTGGCTGCTGCCATCGGATCAGCGCGGTGCGCCGGCCGCAGCACGCTGGTCGCGGCGGCCATTGGAGGGTGAACCAACGGCAAAAGAAGACCTTTCTCTCTGTCTCTCTCTCTCACTGTCCACTCTGCCTGTCAAAAAAAAAAAAAGTCAACTTCATAAATTGGGCAAGAAAACATTTTAAAAATTACCTATACCATAAGCTGCTTTACCATATAGTGTTAGGTTTATTTATTGATTTGAAAGGCAGAGTTACAGACAAGGGGAGAGACAGACAGACAGACAGAACCTAATACAACTTCGCCACAGCACTGACCCCTGGATTACCTTTAAGTGATAGATCATCAGTTCTGATTCTGCTTTATAAATTCTTCTAAATAACAGCATTATAATTCTTACAGAATATTTTTTGCTTTAATTCATGCAAATATTAAAATAGCCAGTCTATAGAGTTTACCTGTAAAATGCTATATTCATAAACTAAAATAAACATAAGTAAAATAAATAATTTTCAAGTTATTCAGTTTTTCCTAATATTCAAATTCTACAAACATGTATTTCTTATCTGATTTACATTCACAGGTCATTTCCAATGAATAGTAGTAGGATATACAAGTATGTGCTAAATATATCCATTAGGTTAGTAACTATGTATGTTTATTTTATATAACATAATTATATATAATACTGCTTATTAGGTTGTAATAATGCCATGCTGTTAACATTTAGCCTTATATATTCTTGTACAAGAATAAATAGGGGCGGTGTTATGACGCAGTGGGTGAAGCCACTGCCTGTGAAGCTGGAATCCCTGTGGCCACCAGTTCAGGTCCTGGCTGCTCCACTTCTAACCCAGCTCCCTGCTGGTGTGCCTGGGAAGGCAGCAGAGGATGCCCCAGGTGCTTGGGCCCCTGCCACCTGCATGGGAGACCTGGATGACTCTCTTAGCTCCTGGATTCCTCCTAGCCCAGCCCTGGCCACTATGGCCATTTGGGGAATGAATCAGTGGATGGAGGATCTCTCTGTCTCTCTCTGGAGCTCTGGCATTCAAATAAACAAAATCTTTAAAAAAAAAAAAAAAAAGGAAAGAAACAAATAAAAAGATGTACTACCAGGAAACAACAATCAAAATTCATAAATATTTTCTAATACATAAATGGGTTTTGAGTTAAAAACAGCTTTGTGTACTTTGCTTTGTAGAAAGCATTGAGAAACATAAAAAGAATCCCAACAAGAAAAAAGAATTTAGAATATGAAACAATAGGACCAGTTGGATTCCCTAGCATCTAAACTGTCAATCTTAGAAATGCATGGTCAATTCCTAGCATCTTTTTCGTGTATGTATGCATGCCACTTTAAGAACACATCACTCAAAGAGCTTAAAGCAGGAGAACCCTGAAACATTCCTCAATTTCACAAACCAGAAATGGACCTGTTGCATTAACTCTAGTGACTATTAAGGACAAAAAGGAAGGAAAACTTCTGCCAGATTAGCAAGATACTAATTTTGACACAAATACTTATTTAAAATGAAATACAAATTTTAATTGTGCCCCTTCCCAATCTCCTCTCAACACCACAGCCAGAGCCATCTTTCTGAAATGTGATCCAGACCACGTCACAGCTTGGCTTCCCCCTCGGCGCTCCCTACTGCAAGTCTAAACGCACTGCACTGGAATGCCAGTTTCCCACGGCCTCTGGTTCTCCACCAGACTCTGAACTCCACGAGAGCAGTGCTGGCGCCCACACAGTGCCTGGCACAGTGGCCACACACACTGGCGGAGCTGAAGGATGGTACTGAGAAGGTCCTCCACACTGACAGACACTTAACAACAGAACAAACTGCTGGAGAAAAGTAGTAGATGCCACTTTTCCAAAGGCAATTTACAAAGACCACACCGTTTAAGCATAGATTATGCCTCAAGGTGATAGAAAATGGCACATAAAAACTAGACAACTACTCAAATCTATTCCAGACCTAAATTTTAAAAGCAGGAGAGAGGGGCTGGTGCTGTGGCATAGCGGGTAAAGTCACTGCCTGCAGTGCCGGCGTCCCATATGGGTGCCAGTTGCAGTCTCAGCTGCTCCACTTCCGATCCAGCCCTCTGCTTTGGCCTGGAAAATAAGTAGTGGAAGATGGCCCCTGCACCTGCGTGAGAGACCTGGAGGATGCTCCTGGCTTCAGATCAATGCAGCTCTGGCCGTTGCAGCCATCTGGGGAGTGAAACGGTAGATGGAAGACCTCTCTCTCTCTGCCTCTATGTAACTCTGCCTTTCAAATAAAATAAATAAATCTTCCAAAAAAAAAAAATCAGGAGAGGTTCTGAAGGGAGAGGATGAGGGAAGGTGATGGGGAGAACTGATTTCAGACCACAAATGGCCTAATTAAGTCTGACCCACATGACGTCCTTGTAGAGAGAGGGTACACTGAGGTTATTCCCAGATCTGGGAGTGGCCTCTTCCCTCTGTCACCACCACTCCTGTCAGGAACTCCTTCTCAAATCCTGCCATGCCCTGTCGTGGCTGTCCTTGCTCCCACTGGGTTCTAGTAAAACTGTGTCCCTTTTTGCACTTGGACCTGGGGTGGTAAAAGCGTCAGACTACTACCCTGGGTGTCCCTGCTCCCATGTCAACATCCTTTACTGGTTCCCAAAACCTTTCCCATGTTCTGAAAAGTCCCTTCATTAAAAACCCTTCGAAACTCTGTATGCCCCTTCCACACAATCATGTGACAGCATAACCTCGTTAGAAACAAAGACAGGTACTCAGATGTCATAACCGCATCTGATTCTGAGAAGCCCAACAGCTGTTTACACGCGTTTTTAAAAGGCAATGTCTGTGTTCCAGGCTATAATTCAAGGAAGAAGACTACAATAACCTTACATAAGAACAAAATGCAAAGCCTAATGAGATTCTTAGAAAAGGTCAATTTCTTTTCCTCTCTTGGAAGCCCCCTCCATGCCACTCTGGGTGGAGGTCCTTGATTCTAATAAATACTTTTAAATCTCAAAAGAAAAAAAAAAAAAAAAGAAAAAGAAAAGGTCGATCTGAATTTACTAAATAAGCCATAACAGTGAACAAACAGATTCGTTACCATTTTTGCAAGTCAATATTCATTCAAAAAGTTCCTCTCCTCTTTCCAGAAAACAAAATTGAGAGGTCTATTAAACTTATAATCACCATTTACATATTAAGAAAATAATTATCTTAAAATATGACTCTCTATGTCAAATAAAAACAGATTCTGAAATGAGGCTTTACAGAAAGCCTTTCTCACTTTGGCATCTGCCTTCCAGCAGTCTCACTTGGCTGCCAGCACCTGAATGTTCGGGTCTTACCCCCCCTCACCAAGGGGAGTGGGAGCAGAGAAAAGGCTTGAAACAAAATTCTGATTTTGATGAAAATGAACCAACGGTAAGCACTGGGCCATGCTATGAAGACTCTAAGGCTTGGTGCTAGCCCTCTGGGTGGGTTTGTGAGACCTGGGCACTCGCTGGGTACCTCTTAGAAGCCCCTCCCCTTCCTCAGAACTTAGCCAGAATAGCTTAAAACTTGGCTGGCCTAGTCTATAGAAGGGAGAGAAAGACAGCTGACTTTAAAACAGGCACAGGTTGTCAGACATCCATGAATCTGACTGAAAAAAGAGAAAACCAGCTAAAAGATGGATGTCCTCTCTGGGATCTTGACAGCTTTAAAAAGTGGGACAACTGATCTTTCTCTTTCTCCTTATAACAATGGCAGAATAGAGAGCAAACAAGGCAGGACGTGATGGGCCCTGCTTTTCCAGACCAAAGCCTTTGTTTCTGTGCCCACACAACAGCTATGATAATGATTATCCCTACAGAAACAGAGTGGCTGACAGTAAAATATCCTTAGAAAGTACTGAACTGCCACTGATAGTCTCTTAAGAAAAACCTACTAAAAAACCCTGAGTGCCAACCAAGTCTCACCCTCCCTTTCCCAAAAATATGAGCTAAATCATAAGGGTAGATCATGCAAAATGTCTTGCGTTTAATGTAATGAATTTCTGATGTTTCAATGACAGCATGAAGGTGGTAACCAACACACAGCTCTTACAATCTAATGTCTTAAAATTCACACCCTTTCACCTTGCACGTGTGGAAGAAGAAAAGAGCAGAAGATAAAATCACTTCCACCTAGACCATTGCTTTTCTTTATCTGTTAAAGGCACATATATCACCCCCATCAAAGGCTTCATTTTGACGCTGCCATCTTGTAGCTTATCATACTGCTCCAACATTTGGTTTCCACCCGCAGGACCAACTGGCAATATCAATCTTCCACCAGGCTTTAGCTGGTCTATTAGCTGCAGAGAAAGAAAAACACATACCCACCAAGTTACAGATTTTATATGAACAGTCAAACCCTTAGTCATCACTGTAAACAATTTTCAGTGTCCATGGGCAAAAGGGAGAAATGTATTTCATTTACTATATACAAGGGGCTTCAAAAAGTTCATGGAAACATGGAATTAAAAGATAAGTGCATTTTTCTACAAAATATTTTGAAATCCATGCAGTTATTTCATGATACACTTTTTCCCTGTACTTTTTAAGCTCCCTTGTCCATATGTTGATAGACTTGTTATTCAGCCTATCAGCCTCCTCTACTAAACCACTACAAGCTCCTTGAGGACAAAGACTGCACCTTATTCATCTCTGTGTTCCTAGTATCTAACACAGTCCCTGGTATAACTGAAGGACACAGAATGTTTGAACTGAACCACCTCCTGTAGAACTTCCTATGGGCCACTTCCTCCTGGGACGGCCAAGGGCAAAAGCAGAAAATTCTAAAGCTTATGTGCCTATTTTGAATCTTTGTGGACTGGAAGAGTGGGGACTGGGCAAAAGGGGGAAGTGTAGGAAATCAGTAAGAAATCTGTCTCTCAGTTTAAGATCTAGGGCGTCACTCAAGCGAAGGTAAGGATACTTTAGCTCTGAATAAATTGAGGCATACTGGCGTGAGAAGGGAAGGCAGGCCGGAGTCTCCGCAGTATTAGAGGTGACCCCTTATCTATGAAGAACCAAGACTACCCAACAAGTCTCTCCAGTCTGAAATGTTCAAGTCATATGCTACCATTTGAACACAGCCTTATGAATCATCATTATTCAAAAACAATAATGAAGAAATCTTACTTTGGATAGCATTAAGGACATCCTCAATTAAAATTTTGGTTATCAGCTAGCCTATATTATTTTTTCCATTTTAATTTTTATCAAAGTAATACTTGCAAGTATTCTTTGTTTTTCTACATTTCAAAGTTTGTAACAAAACAACAACTTCTTCTCCCATCCCAATCTTGTTCCCCAAATCAAGCAATGTAAAATCCTTTTAGCTCTGTCTTCTATTGTTATTTTTATATTATAAATTATAAGCTAGATAAGGATTGAGCTCTATTTTTTTAAAAAAAATTTATTTATTTGAAAGGCAGTTACAGAAAGAAGAGAGGGACACACACAGAGAGAGAGAAAAAGAGAGAGAGAGAGAATCTTCCATCCACTAGTTCACTCCCCAAATGGCTGCAACAGCCAGGGCAGAGCCAGGATGAAGCCAAGAGCCTAGAGCTTCCTCTGGGTCTCCCACAAGGGTGCAGGGGGCCTAGCACTTGGGCCATCTTGTGCTGCTTTCCCAGGCACATTA